CAGCGGGAGTCGAACCGCGACAGTGCAGGATAGAAGCTTGACACGCTAACCACTCATTACAAAGAAAAGTTGGTTTAAATGGAAGTGGTGATTGGGTCTCTTCGACGAGGAGAGAAGAGGCGATGGTTTCCGTGAGGGTTGTTGTGGGTTGATGGGTTCGAGTTCCAGTCGGGTCTCGAAATGGAGCAACCGAAATTCGGTCCGTCCGATCCCCACGGCCGCAGGTCAGTCTGTACCAGCCAGTTGACCCGGCCCCCTGTCTTGTCTCCTCCCCCACCGGTCAGAGTTCGAGCCCGCCTGGGGCACCGTCGAGGTGAGCAGAGCCTGTCCGTGCACCGACGCCGCCGGCAGGTCACAGCCAGCCGTCGTCCCCGTAGACGCCGGACTCGAGGCCGGATCTGGCGCGGCCCCGCACTCCTCGACCAGCAAGCCGCTACAGACGGCCAGACGGCTTTCCCGCCTCCCCTTGGAACTCATCTTCGGCGACCGGTGAGCTCGACCGCATGCATCTTCATGCGTCTCCCTTCGTCTCAGCAGGTCGGCAGACGACAGCCGACAGTCCGAGGCCGTTTCTCGTCACTCGGAAGCACTAACAAGGCATAGGAATCGCTGATTTGCACGACTCTGCCCTTTTTTTTACTTTAGCTACAGCCCACACTCCATGGGCTGAGGTTCACATAAGTCGCTCTGAAACAGGAACCTGACGCTGCAGTCCCGAACTCGGATCCCGGATCTCAGATCCTGGATCAGGGATTCCAGACAATGAATCTTAGATTACGTATCTCATACTCCGGACAGCGTATCCTGGATCTCAGTTCTCAGATACTTAATTTCGGATCCCGGAGCTCGGGGCTTGCAGTCTGAAGCTTAGGCCACAGATCCTTAATACCGAATCCTGGATGTCTAATTTCATATTCGGAATCCCGGATTCTGAACCTCGAGCTTCGGAACCCCAGCTCACGGATTCCTGATAACTGGCTTCATCTCCAGTATCCCTGATACCAAATCCTGGATCCTGGATCACGGTCATCGGATCCCGAATCCCGGATCCTGGATCAGGGATTTCAGACACTGAATCCTAGATACCTTATCCTATACTCCGGACAGCGGATCCTGGATCTCAGTTCTCGCATACTTAATCCCGGATCCCGGAGCTCGGGGTTCGCAGTCCGAAGCTTAGGCCACAGATCCTTAATACCGAATCCTGGATCTCGAATTTCGGATTCGGAATCCCGGATTCTAGACCCCGAGCTTCGGAACCTCGGATTACGGATCCCTGATAACGGACTTCACCTCCAGGATCCTAGATACCAAATCCTGGATCCTGGATAACGATCATCGGATCCCAGATCCCAGGCATGAAATCCCGGAATTTGAATTCCGGTTTCCGGACCAAATATTAAAGATTCCGAACTCTCAACTCCGGATCCTGGATACTGATTATCAGATCATATATCCTCTACTCCACAAAGCG